GCCAGGGCTCTTTGGTGGTAGTAGATGCTCCCGGGGAAGACTCCCAGAAGAGGGGGTGTCTGAGCTCAGTTTTGAAGATTGGGTGAGACTCCCCAGCTCCCGGAGAGGAGGCACAGGCACACTCTGGGTGGTTGATTTGAGAAAGGCTCTGCAGATGAGGCATCTCAGGGGACAGGAGTAAAGACTGGTGTGTCTGCTGCCTGTCCCCCGCCCCGCCAAACGCTGGGCCCAGGACTCAGTTTCCCCACCTCTCGAGCAGTCTGGACTGGCTCAGAGGCAAGGCTGGGATCAGTGGATGCTGCTCTCCCCTGCCTCTCAGAACCTTCCGGAAGGTCAGGTTTTCAGGCCCTGTTGCTCAGGGGCATCCTTCTCCCAGCTCCCCTCCCCTCCGAAAACTCCCCTCCTCGCTCAGGTAGCCAAGCAGGCCTCAGCTTTGATGCGGCCACCTCAAGGCCGAGGCGTCAATGGGCCCTCTATGTGACCGGTGGGGCCGCTGGGGGCCGCCGGGGGCCGCCAGCTGCCGTAGTGGGCGTGGGTAAGGCCTGGACACACAGCCCCACTGTGTGGGGCTGGCTCATGCCCATCCAGACCCTGCGGCTGGTGGGGGGCTCCCAGGAATGTGTCCCTGGGGGGGCACTTTGGACAGGCAGGGTGGTCTGGGGAGACGGGTGTGTGCAGGGCAGCCCCAGAGCCACCGTCAAAGGGGACCGGCAGACGTGGCGCCAGCTAAGCACCATAGTGGGCGCAGGATGGCTGGCGGTCGGTCTGGTCAGTCTGTGCACCAACCAGGGCTGGGGAGGAAGGGGGAGGCTGCCATGGGCACACCGCTCAGGGTGACCAACTGGCTTGTGGCGCCTGGGATTTGGGACATTCAGTGCAAAAACTAGGAGAGTCCCCTGTTGTTGGCCACTGCCCAGAGCTTAGGAAAGGACGGCGACTGACCTCTCTGGTCTGGGTAGCTTCCTCCCTGTCCAGTGACCTCTGAGTCAGACCATCTGGCCTAGATCTGCCCAGCGCCATCTTGTCTCCCCTCTGCCTCCACACAGGCCTGCCTCAGGCCTGGGAGGCCATTTTCCACATCTCGCAGGTGTCTTCAGGGGAAGAGCTGCCAGCCAGCTACCCCCTCCAACGCTGCTGCAAGAATCTTGCCTAGAGTGAAGACCTGACTGACCTGCTGTCCATCCACTTCAATACTTCCGCCTGCTCCAGCCATCCCCGGGTGGGGGGGGGGGGCAGGCAGGGGCACCCAGAGTCGGCATCACACCTTTGCCCCCGGCTGTCACCACACCTTTGCCCCAGGCTGTTCTCTCTCTGGGGGACGTCTTTCCCCCGTGTCACCTCTTCACCCCACAAGACCCAGCAAGACCCACCTGAATGTCACTTCTCCAGGGGAACTGTTCTCTCCTCCCCCAGGTGGGTTAGTACCGCTCTTTAAACGTCTAGACTTCCGTTCTTTCCCCCTTATAACATTGATCACACCCCAGTGCAATTCTCAGTTTACTCATCTCTTTCTACACTTGACCTTGAGCTCTTCAGGGGCAGAGGGACTGACGTAGTCACCTTTGTATCTGAGATCCCAGCACCAGGCCAAGCTCATGGAAATGACAAGAATGAAGTTGCTTATGGGGCATGTTGTCTGTGCCAGGCGCCCTGTTCATTTAATACCCTCCAGAGCCCTGTGAGGTTGGTGTAATCATCATCCCCATTTAACTGACGGAGACACAGGTGCAGAGAGGCGGAGTGATGTGTCCCAGGCTACGGAGTTCGCAATGGGCAGAGTCAGGGTTCACAGCCCGACCTTGAGTGTCTACACTCTACTCCCTGACAAGCTTTTGTAGAATTACTGGGTTAATGAGAACCTCTGCCTCCCAGGGTCTCCTCCATCCTGCATATGGCAGTTCAGGCACATTTCCTCCAGGTTCCTCCCCAGAAGGCCCCCCTCCCTCAATGTCCTGGGGGGAGCGCTTTTGCCTGCATGGGTGCAGTTTAGGGGCATGCTGCCAGGGGGACGCCCCAGAGAAGGCCCTCGTGGGCAGTTAAGCACAAGGGTCCTGGCCTTCATTGGAGCTGTGGGTGGGCCCTTGGGCATCCTCAAAACCATCGCTTGGGTTTGTCAGTTGGAGAAACCGAGGCCCGAAGAGAGGGAGGGACTTGCCCACAGATGTGCGGTACGTCTGAGTCAGAGTCGCTAGGTCTCAGTGTCTCCGTCTGCCAAAGAGAGGAATAAATACCCTTTGTCCAGGGTGAGTCCCAGCAGAAGAGGAGGTAGAAGGATGGAGAATCACCGAGGGTGCAGGGCTCCCCAGGAGGCCTCTCACGCCTTCCATCTTGGTGCCCGGGATCCTTCCATCTGCCTTTTGGGCTGAGCATTGGCCTCCTCTTTCTTCCTCACCCTCTACTTCAGGGTGGGACTCAAATGGCTATCCACCCTCTTCCTAAATCTCTTCCTAAGCCTCTTGAGTTTTGGGATTGGGAATCCTGAGAGCCTCCGAGGGGCTGGGGCCTTGGGCCTGGAGTTCCTGCTTTGGCATGGAATTCAGGGCTCTGTGGCCTGGGATGGGTGACACATGACATCCTTCCTTTCACAGATCTCTAACTAAAATCCAGCATCTTCTTCCCATGGTGATTTTGTCACCAGTGGAAATCCTAGATGTGTTTCTGTCTCTTTAGGGCCTTCCTGGATTATCTGGAAACTGTTTCTGCTCATCACCCCTGTGCTGTGGCCGCTACTGGACCTCCTGAGGTCTCTTCACTAAGTGTGTCGCGACAGAGGCACGTGGTCGCCATCCCACCCCCTTTGCTTTTCTATCGTTTGATAACCGTTATTTCCACAAATCTGGTTTCCTGCGTAGCCCTTTGCATTTGGTTTTCTGCCCTTAAAGAAATGTGATTCTGTGGAGGAGTCTGTAGGCTTCCTGGGACTCCAGAAAGATCTGTGACTCAGAACAGGTTAAGGACTCCACGTGGCCCAGTAAGGAGCCCAGTACTTTGTGGCGGACTGGGGAGACGGATCCCCCAAAGCAAGCATGCCCTAAGCAGAACGTGGGGAATGGAGCCGGGCAGGAGAGAAGGGGTCAGAGAGTGCGGGCACACACCTCAGGTCCCAGACCTTGAGCCCTCCCCGCGGACCCTGTCTTACAAAGCACATTTGTGTCCCTGTCCACCAGGAGTCGGCCTGCTGTACCCAGCAGTCTCCTGTCTCTGGGCGCATGTTGGGCCCCAAGCCACCAGCTCTCCTCTCCCCCCTACTCTGTCTCTCTGTCTACTGTCTGCTGTCTGTCCTCTCTCAGGCATCAGGAGCCCATCTTAGGTAGCAGCTCCTTCGTCTTGTCTCCCAAGATTCCTTTGTTTTTAACTCTGCATTCCTCCATCTTGCTCATGGAGGGAGAAATACAGATTACAAAGACCCGGCGAATGGTTTTTATAAACTCTTATTTTCTTGCCACAGACTGCCTTTAATTAGCTCTGAGGACTACAAAGGGGATAGCGTTAGAATAGGAGCAGCTTGAAGGAAGGAGCCACGGCTGTCAGCTCCCAGACCTGAGGCTGCTGCTTGTCACCAGCCACAACCAGCTTTGGCGGCGAGTGCATCCGCCTCAGAGGTGGCGCCCCCACCCCCACCCCCCAGTCCCCATCTGCGGCCATACAGCCTGCCTCAGCTTCTCTCCAGGGAGGAGGAAGGGGTCCCACTTCAGACAAGCCCTTGCAGAAACCTTCAAACAATAAGCACCCAAATGTACCTCGGTCCCTGCCCAGAGCTGGCCGCCCAGGGACTGGCTCTGAGTCACTCTGTTAGCCAGCAGTGGGACAGGCCGATGGCCAGAAGGGCAGACAGTCAGGCCCGCTTCTGGATCTCAGTTGACCACCTCCGCTGAGAAAAGGCAACCCCAGCTCCCTAAACCTTGGAGTTCCAGATCCCACGCAGCCCCGCCCTTCTGGAGGAGCCCCCAGAGGCACGGCCCTCCTCAACTGCCCATCCCCCGCCTCAGACAGTGGGAATGTCACAGCCAGAGGGGCCTCTGCTTGGGGCTCAGAGAAGTGACGGTACTTGCCTAAGGCCACTGGACCAGGTAGCCACTGACCTGGGACTCAGGCTCAGGGCCACTTGACCCCCAGTCTCAGGTGCCACAGCCCCATCTGGGCTCCTCTTGGTGGACGCGGGGGAGCAGAGGAAGGCAGCAGGCCACGGCACCTCAGCACTACGAGCCAGACAGAGGCAGGAAAAGTCTCCCCTTGAACTCCAGCCCCGATCAGAGGTCCCGAGTGGGGGGCCCTGGGACCCCTGGCACACACAGCCCACACCTCTGGGTCACTCACTCTAGGCCACGGATAGAGGCAAAAGCCACCCAGAAACCCTGTCTTCTCCTCAGTGACCCGAAGCCTCCCCAGTCCTGCTCCCTCCGCCGCCCAACGTGTCTCCAGTTTCCGTGCGCCCCAGAGCGACGCCAGTTCTCCACAAAAGCCTGTGGCCTTCTCTCTGCTCCCCTCAGTCCAGGATGACTTGGAAAGCATGGGGAGAGGTCCTCAGAGAGACGTCTAGATCCATGGCTCTTGAGAGAAGCTGGTCAGGCTCTGACCCGGGAGTGTGCCCCGGAGCCCGCGTCTGCCTGAGCCCGGCGGGGAGGGTCCAAGCTCTCCAGGTGGGCCCGGGAGCCCCGTCACCGAGGCAGGAAGCCTCGGGTCACAGGGACACCTTCCGTGTCCTCTCCGCCCTGGGACCCTGCAAGATCGGCCTTTGAGGTCTTGTGGTATCCATTTCCCCTATCCCTTACTGTCCCCACCAACTGAGGACCAAAGTCCCACAAAAGTCCACTCTGGGAGACCACGGAGGCCACCAACCCCTCTTCCCACCTCAGGCTTTCAGGAGTCGGCAGATTTAGGTAGGCGGGCCGTGCCCTTGAAGGCAGCCAGGGTGGCCGGCGGAGGGACGCGGTCCGGGGCCCGGCCACAGCTCCCCACCCGCAGGGCTCAGCCCAGGGCCCTGGGCAATCGTTACTCACCGCGGATGAAGGTTGGCGAGTAGGTCGGGAAGGAATCGAAGATGCTGTTCGATGCCATGCCCTTCTCTGAGGAAGGCTCTGAGAAACCAGACCTTCAGGGGGTCGGCTTGGGATGGACCTGGTTGGCTGTCGTTTTATTTTTTTTTTCCTAGCTACTTCTGAAAATAAAAGGGTGGGGGTGGTGGTGTCGCTTTTTTGTTTTTTGTTTTGTTTTGTGTTGTGTTGTGTTGTCTTCCCCCCCCACCCCCCTATTGCTCTGAAAAAGAAAAAAGGAAAGAACGCGAGAGTGTGTGTGTGAGCGAGAGAGACAGAGAGAGAGAGAGAAAAAAAAATCCCCAAGGAAAGTAAGTTTCTGTTTGTGCCCAAGAACTTGGATTCCCAGTCCCACAGGAATGTCTAGCCACAAATTTTCAACAGAAGCGAATGCAGAGTGTATCATTAGATGGCGGGAAGGGGCCTGCGGCAGCCAGGGCGGACTAGCTTGGAGAGCAGTGCGAGCAGCGCCAGGGCCAGCGCCACGGGGAATGAATGAATGAGGCTCACCCCCGGCAGAGCCCAGGCTCCGGTGGGTGCGAGGGCGGCCCGAGGGCGGGGAGGACTGGGAGCCAACCAGCTCCCGCGCTGGGCCCTGAAGGCGGCGGAGGGCCTGGCCTGTGGTTCTGTGGTTGAGGGACCAGGCCTTCGCAGTGTCAACCCAACCTCAGCTCACAGGATGCGAGAAGCTAGCTCGCGGCCTTGGCCCATTGGCTGGGCTGCGGTCACCTGGGCTGTGATGTCACGGCCTCTTAGAAGATCTTGCGGCTGCCTCTCTCTCTTTTTGGAAAAAAAAGGGGGAAAAAGAGGGAGAGAGAGAGAGAGAGAGAGAGAGAGAGAGAGAGAGAAGTGATGGCTTTTATTTGTGGGGCTGGCCTCAGCACGCGGCCCAGGAGCAGAACCGAAAGCAGAGGGAGGGGGTGGCCGGGCGGAGGTTTGGATCCTGCAGGGGACTCATTTTTAATTAAGGCCAGTGTTGGCCTGGGCGGGCCCCGAGCCCCGAGGGCCCTCGCCAGACCTCCAGGCGGGCGGCAGGGCTCCCCTCCGCACCGCCCAGCCCCTGGGCTGCGGCTGACACCCCACCACGGTCCACCAGCACTGTTGCCCGGGAGAAGCGTCCACATGTGTGGCACTTGAGGGGGGGTTTATGGGAGCTGGGACTCATACAAAGGGAGAAGTATGAAGTGGCATCCCCAGCACTCACACCCCAGCGCAGCCTGCGGGCTGAGGCCTCCCTCGTGAAAGCCGGCAGTGGGGCCGTCCACACCAAGGAGCCCTCTGCAGAGCTTGGGTGCTGAGCCCTGAGCTTGCCATTCAAGGCCCTTTGCTCCTTTTGCGTGCTTTCATCTCCTTGGGGTCCTCTGTTTTAGCCTAATGCACCTGGGCTTTCCTGCCTCTGGGGCTGTCCCCGCCCTGTCCCACGGCCCTTTATCAGGGCACTTTTTGAATCCTTTAGGTCCCAGGAGGTTCAAGGCTCAGAAGGATTCTGAAATAGAAGAGGCATGGGAAATGATTCAGGTCTACACTTCTGTGTCCCTGCGTGGGGCGGGGAGGGGGAAGGGGGTGGCTTCTCACCATTTCCCTTGCAATCTCTTCTGGCCCATTGCATAGGTCAGACACCGAGGCGGAGGATGCTGGAGGCAGCCTGTGCGAGGCCACAGTGTTGTGAGTGGGATTAGAACATCAGCCTCCGATTTATCAGCCTGGGCCTCAACCACAGCAGCACCTCACCCTGCAGCGCCCCCTAAGCTCAGTGCTGAGGCTTCAGAACGCCCTCTGCAGGGGCACGGGCGCCCGGTCTCTCCCAGGGGCCCTGAGCTTGGAGCTGGGCCCCAGCAACCAACCTCGGACTCCAGGTGGGCTCTATAGGCCGACACGGAGCAGGAAGGGTCTCTGGGTGGAGGAGAGGCTTGTCCACGGTTCCACAGAGACTTGTTTCCACCCACAGCCACGTTGGTCACTAGGGAGCAGGCCGCCCTTGGAAACTCGCCTCCTGGGTCTCATTTGGAGCCCTGTGAAGGCTCAGTCTTTTGTTCCTCAGTGGCGAGTTGGCGGTGGCGGTGGTGATGGGTTGTCATTTCTCCAGGGAGGAAGCAGGTTTACGGTGAAAGCCACAGGGCTCTGGAGTCAGATTTGAGTTCTACCCTCAGCTCTGCTGAATCCCAGCTGCAGGGCCTGGGGCAAGTCATTTGCCCCCTCCCGTTCTCAGTTTCCTTCCCTGTCAAATGGGGATAACACATTTCTCAGAGGGGCGGGTGACCCGGTGAGGACACCGTAAGCATTTCCTTGTCAGAGTCACCGTGACGTAATCTGGGGTCTGTTATGAGTAGGCACAGGGAAAGAGCCATCCGTCACACAGAAGGACCAACTGCCCGCACTGGAAGCCAACAGGCCTGGGCAGGGCTATCGCAGTCGGTGGCACACCGAGCCAGCCAAGGGTTAGGTGTGGAGCATTTTGGAGTCTGCCACATTGTGAGATGGGTCAGAGACAGACACAGCAGGAAAGACCCTCTCTAACCGAAGTGGAAACCGAGGTCCCCAGAGGGGCAGAGACTCAAGCTCACCCAGTGAGTCAGTGGAACCTGGCCCCCCGCTTCCCAGCCCGGGAGCTGTTTTCGATGCACCAACACCACCTCCAGTTTCTATCATCTCACCCTACACGCTTTGCTATTTTTTCCACACGTAGAAGTGGGTCCCCCTATAATACCTGTAACTTGGTCACCCCGAGGGACTTCCCCTTCCCCGGAAAGCTGAGTCCGGGCCCAGGAATGAGAGGGGGCCCAGGGGCACTGCTGCGCAGGGGTGGTTTAATGCGATCCTGCGGCGATGCAGCAAGCACCCACCGGGTACCAGGCCCGGTCCTTCCGTCGAGAGGCTTCGACTCTCTGCATGGCCCCCAGAAGCATGTGCCAGACTAAACGAGCCTCTGGAGGTTGCTGGGGGAGCAGACAGATCATTTCTGGGGCCGGACTTTGGAATATTCCTGACGCAGCGAGACTGTGGGCAAAAGGCCTTATTTTTCTGAGCCTACTGCCTTGCCTGTGACACGGGGCCATCTGCAGTACCTACTCGCAACTGCAAAGGAAATTAAATGAGAAAATGTTGTGAGTGTACCCAGCATTTGGTAGTTGCTCAGTTCCTGGAATTCCCTTCTTTTAGCTCAGACTGCGCGCCCCCTTGGCAGGCAGTGGCCGGCCGGGTTTCCTCTGGTGCGTGCAGTGGACTTTCTCCTGTTCTTCTGGCTGAAGCCTCTCCTACAATTTCCAGTTTGGGCTTCTTTAAAGAACGCGGATGAAGAGATGCTTACGAAGCCATCCGCATCCAGTAGCATCTCAGTTTTGCTATTTTCCCCAATCTCTGACAGTGTCCCGTCCATACCAAAGTCAATGTGTTCTTAGCAACATGCCTTCACCAGGTCTTCCCAAGGGACTCGCCTGGTTTCCTAGAAAGAGACGCTCCAGTTTTGTATTATATCACTGGTAACTTTGCATCGCTGCCCGTGAGGGTCCCATCAAGAAACCGGAAGCCGCTTGGGGTATTGGAAACCCAGGAAAGTTAATTCAGGGGTTATTGGCAACACAGGTGACAGAAGCACTGAGAAGCCAAGCACTGATGGTGAGGGACTCCAAGTTCAGCCACAGTAGGAAGTCACAGCCACCCTTTGGCACATTATGCAGCCAAGTGGGGGAAGAGGGTAGAATGGATCTGAGGGCAACATGGCGGGTGCCTAGACTGGCATAATATCCAATGACATTTTGTAACCACGAAAACCCAACTGGCCAAAATGGGCTTGAGAACAAACCCCAACTGATGTCTGGCAAGTTGATGGCTCAGTGGGTTGGTGGGAGCAGAAGGTGTGGATTCCAACAACGGATCTGCCAGCCAAGGGGACTGGTGGGCACATAACACCAGCAATGCTAGTAAGCCCCACCGAGCCGGTTACATGGAGAATAGTTACAAAGACCTACTATGAATGGTGATGAGATCTGTTTTCTCAGCCTGTGTGAACAGCTGCTAATTCCACAGTAACCTTGTACTTCCACAGTAACCTTGGGCCAATGTGATGGTGGAGGATGCCACAAATCACAGGCACTGGCTGCAGGGCCCACCTAGGAACTTGGCAAACATGGCACTTCCCTGTACCCACTGGGCCTTCCCAACAACCTGCAGGATGGGGGGCAGCTCTCTTCATTTTCTGATGAGGAAAAGACTAATCCCAGGGATTAACCCCAAGCGCTGGCCTTTCAAAGTCAGCACAGCCAGCTTGGATGAAATGGAGGTGGACCCTCGTCTTAGAGTTCCAGTTCAGGCTTTCCGCCAGCAAATCACAGTGCTGGGCTCATGGAAGGTGCTGGAGAGGTACCTGCAGCAGACTACCCAGGGGGGGCTCCACCTTCTGGCCCCTGCACAGAGACATCAAGAAAATTTCCCCCTCCCTCCCGCTTCCCCCCAACCTCTGCCAGGTCTACCCCTGCTCTAGCGTAGGCCCACATTCAGGGTGAGGATGAGGTCATGCAGGTCACCTAGGGACTGGGGTACCCAGCCCAAGTTAAAGGATCAGCAGCTAAGGACCTACTGCTCGGGATGTACGTGCGGAGAGCTATAAAGGCATAAGCTATAAAGGCATAAGACCAGTGTCTCCAATGGTGGGGTCTTGGCACAGCCAACCGTGCCTAGTTTCTGGGGGGCTATCAGAGAGGTGAAGGGACCCACCCAGGGTCATCCACTTTGCAGGTGAGGGCAGGATTCAACCCAGCCTGCCCTCCACCTGCTCTCTGGGCTCCCTCTCCCTTCCCCACCCCCAGCTTCTCTCTTTCCTGTTGTTTGTTTCATAAAACTGCTCGTGGTGCCCCCTCAGAACCAAGCCCCTCCCGTCTCCTCCTCCCCCTTCCTGCATCAGACCCCTTCTCCAGGGCCGCCTCCCCCCTGCCCCCGTGCTGAACTCCTCACTGCCGAGCCAGTGTAGCTGCATGGTATAGCCTAGGCTAATGTTCAGCTGTCTTTATCCACAGCACCCGCCTCCCCAAGGACCCCAGCCGCTCTTCTCTCAGCATTTCCCCCTCCCTGACACCCCATCCTAGTACACCTTTG